CCCTGAGGGGGGAGGGGGTTTATCGGGGGGGGACCTGGCACAAGGAAGAGCGGTGGCGGGGGGAGGGACGGAGTGCGGTAGGGGAAGAGGCGGTAGTAGGGGACCGACTCGTGAAACGTGACGTCCTGAGAGGACAGAACACGGCGAGAGGTGGGGTGGTAGAACTGCCACCCTAGCGCGTCAGAAGGGAAGCCAAGGAAGACGCAAGGAGCAGCACGAGGGGACAGCTTGTCCGCAGACAAGTCGCGGACAAACCCCCAAGATCCCCAGACACGGAACGCAGATGCATCGCCAACCTTCCTCGTCCACAGCAAAGCTGGGGAGGTCTCCGGCATGGAGACCCTGGGGTGAAGGTTGATCTGATGCGCCGCGTACCAAACCGCAAACGGCCACAGAAAATGGAGGTCAGCCGCATGCATTATGGACGTACGGGCGACGTCCATGACCATGCCAATGCGGCGCTCAGCAATCCCATTTTGCTGTGGAGAGTCCGGAAGCGTGAAGGCCTGGCGGATGCCACGTGCATGGCAGTAGGCTCGCAGAAGGCCAGAGGAAAACTCTCCGCCTCTGTCAGAGTGCAGATGCAGAACAGGAATGTCCGAGCCGAAGCTCTGCCTGAGCTGGAGACGAGCTGCGCGGATCCAGTCGATGAACACCGCAGTGACATCACCCTTGCTGTGCAAGGGGAAGACTCTGGTGTAACGCGAGTAGTCGTCAACCACCAACAGGAAGTAGCGCTCGTGACCCTGTCCACGGATGCGGGCCGAGCCCCACACGTCCATGTGAAGCGTCTGCAACGGGGCCTGGTAGGGCGAGGCCCCGGAGGAAGGGGAGGGAGGGACCGGGGAAGACCAGAGACAAGGACACGGGAGGCCATGCCTCGGAGACGAAGCAGGGAGGGGTGACCAGAGGAGAGTCTCGTGAGACAGGAGGCGACACGAGCAGGGGGCAGACTCAAGACCAGACATGGACGTTGCAACAAACACCTGACCCGACGCAGCTACCTGACCAGACGCAGTGACTGGAGGAGACGCAGTGGTCAGTTTGTACAGGCTCGACCCCGGCCGACGTTTAAACGTGGCCAGGTGTCGGCCTGTTCGAGCGTCCGTGCAGTGGGTCACCCGCTGATTCGCAGGAGTGAACTGGTGAACCTCCGCATCCTGTAGGTCAGCACCACTCACCAAGTTCGTAGAGAACGAGGGGAGGTAAAGACCAAACAAGGTGCGAGAGGGGGCCGCCGGACACGGGAGGACAGTGGAGAAGTGAGCAAGGACAGGACCCCCAGAGGGGTCTGCCAGAGAGACTGCAAGTGGCCGGCCTAGCGGCGTGAGTGAGGTGCGGTCTCGAAAGAAGGAGCGAGAAGCCCCCGAGTCAAGGGTGAAGGTGTGGGAGGCCGAAACCGGCGCAGTACCTGAGAGAGCAGACTCACCAGCATCTGAGGGAGCAGACGAGGGCGGCGCGGCTCGGGTCGGGCGGCGCGGCTCGGTTCGGGCGGCTCGGGTCGGGCGGCGTGGTTCGATTCGGGCGGCTCGGTTCGGGCGGCTCGGGTCGGTTAGGGCTGGCGGCTTGGGTCGGGCGGCTCGGTTCCGTTAGGGCGGGGCGGCTCGGGTCGGCTCGGTTCGGGCTGCTCGGTCTTGGTGGGGCCGTTCGGGGCCGCTAAGAGCGAGCGCAGGGAGCGGGTGGGGCCGTGAGGGACGAGGGCGGGGCCGACGTTGGTGCTAAGGGCGAGCGCGGGGCCGACGTGGGTGCTAAGGGCGAGCGCGGGGCCTAGAGCAGCAGCCTCACCAGTACCTAGAGCAGCAGTCTCAATGCCCGGGTCGGGCGGAAAACACCGGTAACAGTCACCCTCATCACTAATAGTCATAGCACGCTGGCTTGGGTTGAAACAGGGCGGGCGCTGCGGCTTGAGTGGCATTGGCGCTATGATGGCGTGGTCGCCACTTATCGCCGCGAATTCTATGTGCCGACGGGCTTCGCGAGGTTCCCGCAGGCTTGGCGTGACCCTATTCCTCTCCATACCAAGCATTGAGTGGGCGGCGCCATCAATGGCTGTGCCGGAGCGCTGTCTCACGCTGTCATTTTGTGTTGGTTTGCTTGATGAGATGACGATCGGCTCCTCTGATTGTGCAAGTGCATTTGCAGGTGCGTGTGGTGGTGCCGGAGTATTCACCGTGGATTGCTGTCGCGCTGAGTCACGTTCCGCCGTAAGTGTCGCGATTTCGAGCGCCGATTCTTCAAGACGGTCGAGTTGCTTCTGCGTCAGTGTCGCGAGAGTGAATTCGGCCATGGCGGGGGTGTCGGGCAAGCTCAGCGAGAGCCTCTATTGTGGCCGTGCGTGCTTACGAGATAGCACTACGAACGGCGGTGCTGTGTCGCTGGAAGACGTCTACCCCTCCCAAAAAAATGAGATAGTGGGGAAGCGAAGGTGTGGGTGCGGTCCGAGAAGAGATCGTAGGCTCTGATACCAAGTGTTACGAGTGCAATTAAGTGATCAAGCGCAAGTTGCACTATCGAAGCAAGAGTACAATGAGCGAAGACATGAGCGAAGAATATATAGCGAAACTACAGTGATAACGGTAATGCGTGAAAATGGGGTGCGCGACGGTCCTGGCGCCGAGGTTGGGAAATGCCGAGGCGGAGGTCCGGAGCGCGGGTTACCAACCGGACCGTGAGGTTGGGTCACGTTGTGAAGAGTGGCGGGAATAATGTCGAGGCGAAGGTCCCAAGTGGTAACGGTTTTACTGTTCGGTGCTGTTGGCGGGAACAGTGGTGTACGCACTGAGCAGCGACGCGAAGTAAGGAAAAAGGATTTTTCCTCACAATAAGGCAATAAGGGAATGTACCCCTTAGAGTATATGGCTAGCTAGACCTATTTATTGTGTTTATTCTATCATTTTAATCAATCTTGTCATTTACATCCACTATGAACATGTTCCTACCACAAATCTTCCACTATCAGAACTCTCTAATGCAATCATATTCTATCCAAGATCCTCACTCTAGCAAGTCAGACGATTCGAGGTATGTGCAAGGGGCGTGCCGTCTTGTGAACTAAAGCTGATCGTATCCGAATTTTTGTGAAGTGTAGTGTTACAACCCGAAATGTGGTAACTGAAGGGGCTAGGTTTGCTAATGCGAGTGGGCCCACTCCCACTTGGTGTCTACCGAAGGCCAAGAATAAGACACATCGAACCGGCACTTCTCACATGAGACAACCTATCCCCTGCCATTTTTAACAACTCCAATGCACGCTTGCTTCACGTTCAGGCATAGGACTCGAGTCGCGATGCAGCCTTCTTGTGTTCATAAAGCAGCGTGCATGCACCTTGTCTGTTCTCACAGCTACTGTTGCTGCCTTTACTATTTCATAGTTGCGAAAATAGGTTCGGAATCTAGCTGGTGGAAAGGCGGCAGGCAACTTCGAAGCAATTCCATTTCGCTCCATTGCACTTTGCTTTCCTATGGGGCAATTGTTCCGTTGATATCTCCCACCCGTTGGTGGTGGTGTAGGCTGCTTGCCATCCAGCCGAAGCTCGCAGCTTGGTCAAGCTGTGTCGGGCCCACCGAGATCAGGTTCGAGGTCTGTCACGACGGACGAGCGGAGTCGATTGAATGAGCAAGGAGAGCAAAGTTCGGGGTGGGAGTCTAGGGAGCGAGCGCGACCGGCGGGAGAGCGAGAGGGAGCGGCGGGACTATAATTGTTGTCCTAAGACAAATTTAACGGTCCTACTAGTAGGTCACATTTGTCAGGGTTAAATCTTCTGAAGACGAGTAGGTCACATCTGTCGTTTTGGGCTGGGACAGCGAAATTTGCGGTAGCGGATTTCCGCCATGCGGCGAGGGAGACGGAGGAGCGAGCAATGGGGAGCAAGGAGCGAGAGCGACCCATGGAGAGACAATGGGACCGTGGGAGCTGCAGCTTTGGGTTGCCTCGAACGTCAAGTGAGCTCCTGGGGATCATTTGGAAGGTCGGAATTTAGCAATACATTCATGTGCTTTGAAGGGGGCCGAATACTGTCACTGAGTACATCACAAAAATCCTGCGTCCAGAAAACCTCTGGAAAGAGTTGCTTTAAAGCTTTGTTGAATGATTTATAAACGTCTTGTTTGGTACGCTATTTTGAGAAAGTATAGATCTTTTTCTGGATGCTTTGTCGAACGCTTTTCGCATGCTTCTGCGGTGCTTCTCTGTTCAAACCTCTCAGGTGAAAACCTTCGGCAGAAGTTTGGTTCGAGTTTCCGCAGAGCAATTTCGGAGATTGGATCTCATTGCATTGTACTCTTCAAGGACATCCGGTTTAGTTATAATGAAGTTGGATTGGAGACTTGCAATGGTTAACATGTTGTTTAACAAGATGTTTAGTTGCCTCATCCTAGCATCAAAAATAACTATTACAGAAGCGTTGGTAAATAGGTTTTATTCTCAACAAAAAAGGCACATACAACAGCATCCTACACCCCACCCTCTCTAGTCAAAGACCCCCGCCAGTTAGGGTGATCTGGATCAACCTGCTTCTCATGCTCCCGTACACTATGTCTCCCACTACACCCCATGTCTCGTGCTCTAGGCCGAGCATGCTCGCCCCTACACCTAGCCCCCATGATCCATGCCTTTTCTGCGATACCACTTCCTTCCTCTCTTCTTGCATCTCCCATCCGTCCTTCACTAATTGTGGTACTATTGCCCTCCCATGCGTCCACTGCTTCCTCGCATGTCCAGCCCTGTCATGCGTCTGCTGCTCCGCCTTAGACATCCTCCAGTCAAGCATTTACTGCTGCTTGCTTTGTCCTATCCGGTCATGCCTATACTGCTGCCCCCCTTGCACCACTCCCCTCCGTAATGCTGTCCCCCTTTCTCTATCCACACGTGCCTTCCCTGATGCCCCCCTTGCTGTCTCCACCAATTCCTCTCCTCGCACGTATGTGATGCCTCTCCTGCTGTCCCCTTTTGTAAACTCCACGCATGCCTTATCTGCTGCCCCCCTTGTCTCGTCACACCATCATTTGGCCCTCTTGCCTCCCCTTCTTTTGCCATTTTCGTGCCTTTTGCCCTTCCTCCGCTCCTGGTCCCCCTGCTTCTCATCCTCATCCTCATCCTCTTCCTCCTCTTTCTCCTCTTCCTCCTCTTCCTCCTCTTCCACTTCCCTCCAACTTCCCTTGCCTCTGCCTCTCTTGTGCTTTCTACCCTTCCTCCGCGACTGCCCCCCCTGTTTCTCATCCTCCTGCTCCTCCTCTTCCTCATCTTCCTCCACTTCCTCTTCCCTCCTGCTTCCCTGCCCTCTGCCTCTCTTGTGCTTCCTGCCCTTCCTCCGCTCCTGCCCCCCCTGTTTCTTATCCCCCAGCTCCTCTTCCTTCTCCTCTTCCTCGTCCGCTTCCCTCCTGCCTCCCCTGGTTTTCCCTCCCTTGTGCCTTCTGCCCTTCCTAATCTCTTGCCCCCCCCGTTTCTCATCCTCTTCCTCATCCCTCCCGCCTGCCCTAGGTCTCTTGTGCCTTTTCCTCTTCCTCCGCTCCTGCCCTCACTGTTCCTCCTCCTCCTCCTCCTCCTCCTCCTCCTCCTCCTCCTCCTCCTCCTCCTCCTCGTCATCCTCCTCCTCCTCCTCCTCCTCCTCCTCCTCCTCCTCCTCCTCCTCCTCCTCCTCCTCCTCATCCTCCTCCTCCTTCTCCTCCCCCATGTCCTCCGATTCGTACACCTCCTGCTCTTCCTCCTTCAGGTCCTTCGTTTCGTCATCAAGCTCAGCCTTCCCCCGGAAGGCCTCAAATTCTGACTCGTGAACATACAGCCCACGGTCGCCCCACTTGAAGCCCTTCACGTCTGTGTTGTACACGGGGGTGTGGCGTGTGAAGTGGTCCTTGATAATCCACCGCACATTACAGTGCAAACCCCCCATCCATTCACTGTTCTTCCGGTGGGAGTTGGAGACGTTCCAGTCAGTCCTCTTAACCTTTGATAAGCCCTGGTCAATCTGAAAAGGCATAGCACAGTATGGGATGGAGGAAAAACAGCAACTTCAGTGGACACTCGCGTGCAGAGTTTAGAGGCTGCGCTGAATGCCCCACATACCATGCCGAGGGACTATAAAACAGCATGCAAAGCTAGAGCATACCATGGGTTGAGCAATAATTGCGTACCACCATGATTGACCAGGCAATGTGGTATGCTTTGACGCACACCCAGCGCCTGACACAGAAATTCCGAAATGCTTCCCGGACCGCATCTACAAACCGGCCGTTGGCAAACGGGAGCCCGTCTCTGTTGTTTCCCCACGAGCTGACCCTCTGATTCCCTCCTGCGCGCATGTATGACAATGCGGGGAAGCATGAGACATCCGTGATCATGCATGACATGGTTTAGGGTTGTCCAAAGGGTATGGATGAACATCGAGGGCGGGGGGGAATGAATGGCGAGAGGGCGGGAGAGTAGGGGAGGGCGGGAGATAGGGGGAGGGCGGGAGAGAAGGGGAGGGCGGGAGAGAAGGGGAGGGCGGTAGAGGAAGGGAGGGCGGGAGAGAAGGGGGTGGCAGGAGAGAAGAGGAGGGCGGGAGTTAAACGGGTGGCGGGAGAAGGGGAGTGTGGGAGAAGAACCAACGGATGGCTGTCATGCGGATGTGTTTGCACATGCGCTACAAGCTTGGGCGAGGAGAGCAGGTATGTAGTCGCGTGCCAAAGTGGGGATGCATTGGGGGTATGTGCTTCATCATCGTGGGGCATGCACGAGGGGTGCATGAGCAGACATGTCAATAGGGGATGGAAAACAGTCACGCAAGTACTCACTCAGTTGGTATTTTTTCCACATCTTCCGCTTCTTCTTGGTGCCTATCCACAGTTCGGCTGCACGCAGGCCTTCCACCTTCTTGCCGAAAGTGATGAGCACTCTGCGCTTGAGGTGGAAGCCACGTTCGTTCTTCCATGACGTCCAGGCAAGTTTAAAAGCGCCTACGATGTTTTTGTCTTCCATCGCCTCTCGCAGCTGCATCATGTTGATGATGTGCGTCTCGCTGATAACCTGATACAACACCTGCAAGCGCTGTTCGAACGTTGGGTAGAAGTCTATGGCATGGTCTGGCGCCTCGAGGCACATCCGGTCCCGCCCCTCCGCGAAATGAACCTACGACGGCCGGATGGATAGGAAAAAAGGATATGTGGGTGACTCCCAAAGAAGGGCGGAAACCAGAGGTCGAGAGAGTAGGATTTGGGTAACACGTGCCGCAGGCCACCCACACCACCACCAGCACCATGAACAGGGGCTCTGGTTGAGGTAGGGGAGAGCAGGGAGATAGAGGGGGGAGAGAGGGGATGAAATAGTCTGAGTGAAATCATATGGGAGAGGGAGCAGAGTGTGAGAGCACCGTACGCCCTGCGTAAGGGGTCATGTTCTCCTCGTACTAAGAGTCACAACCCCCGCTGCAGCCCGGCTCGCTACACGCTGCGCCGCATGCCACACACGTGACCAGAAGCACCGTTTGGAAGGGCTCTGCAAGAGGAGGGAGAGGGACGGGATAGAGAGGGGAGGGAGGAGCGGCGGAAAGAAGGGATTGGGCGCGTGGGGATGACAGAGAGGGCTGCTGCTATCTCTGCGCTGCATGCCACCCACACCAGACCAGCAGCACCGTTTAGAGGGGCTCTGGAAGAGGAGGGCGAGGGATGGGATAGAAAGGGTGGGCGCGTGGGGATGACAGAGAGGGCTGCTGCTATCTCTGCGCCGCATGCCACCCACACCAGACCAGCAGCACCGTTTAGAGGGGCTCTAGAAGAGGAGGGAGAGGGGTGGGATAGAGAGGGGGGGGAGGAGCAAGCGGAAAGAAGGGATTGGGCACGTGGGGATGACAGAGAGGGCTGCTGCTATCTCTGCGCCGCATGCCACCCACACCAGACCAGCAGCACCGTTTAGAGGGGCTTTGGAAGAGGAGGGAGAGGGGTGGGATAGAGAGGGGGGGGAGGAGCAAGCGGAAAGAAGGGATTGGGCGCGTGGGGATGACAGAGAGGGCTGCTGCTATCTCTGCGCTGCATGCCACCCACACCAGACCAGCAGCACCGTTTAGAGGGGCTCTGGAAGAGGAGGGCGAGGGATGGGATAGAAAGGGTGGGCGCGTGGGGATGACAGAGAGGGCTGCTGCTATCTCTGCGCCGCATGCCACCCACACCAGACCAGCAGCACCGTTTAGAGGGGCTCTAGAAGAGGAGGGAGAGGGGTGGGATAGAGAGGGGGGGGAGGAGCAAGCGGAAAGAAGGGATTGGGCACGTGGGGATGACAGAGAGGGCTGCTGCTATCTCTGCGCCGCATGCCACCCACACCAGACCAGCAGCACCGTTTAGAGGGGCTTTGGAAGAGGAGGGAGAGGGGTGGGATAGAGAGGGGGGGGAGGAGCAAGCGGAAAGAAGGGATTGGGCGCGTGGGGATGACAGAGAGGGCTGCTGCTATCTCTGCGCCGCATGCCACCAACACCAGACCAGCAGCACCGTTTAGAGGGGCTCTGGAAGAGGAGGGAGAGTGATGGGATGGAGAGGGGAAGGAGGAGCAAGCGGAAAGAAGGGATTGGGCGCGTGGGGATGACAGAGAGGGCTGCTGCTATCTCTGCGCCGCATGCCACCCACACCAGACCAGCAGCACCGTTTAGAGGGGCTTTGGAAGAGGAGGGAGAGGGGTGGGATAGAGAGGGGGGGGAGGAGCAAGCGGAAAGAAGGGATTGGGCGCGTGGGGATGACAGAGAGGGCTGCTGCTATCTCTGCGCCGCATGCCACCAACACCAGACCAGCAGCACCGTTTAGAGGGGCTTTGGAAGAGGAGGGAGAGTGATGGGATGGAGAGGGGAAGGAGGAGCAAGCGGAAAGAAGGGATTGGGCGCGTGGGGATGACAGAGAGGGCTGCTGCTATCTCTGCGCCGCATGCCACCCACACCAGACCAGCAGCACCATTTAGAGGGGCTCTGGAAGAGGAGGGAGAGGGGTGGGATAGAGAGGGGGGGGAGGAGCAAGCGGAAAGAAGGGATTGGGCACGTGGGGATGACAGAGAGGGCTGCTGCTATCTCTGCGCCGCATGCCACCCACACCAGACCAGCAGCACCGTTTAGAGGGGCTCTGGAAGAGGAGGGCGAGGGATGGGATAGAGAGGGGAGGGAGGAGCAAGCGGAAAGAAGGGATTGGGCGCGTGGGGATGACAGAGAGGGCTGCTGCTATCTCTGCGCCGCATGCCACCCACACCAGACCAGCAGCACCATTTAGAGGGGCTCTGGAAGAGGAGGGAGAGGGGTGGGATAGAGAGGGGGGGGAGGAGCAAGCGGAAAGAAGGGATTGGGCACGTGGGGATGACAGAGAGGGCTGCTGCTATCTCTGCGCCGCATGCCACCCACACCAGACCAGCAGCACCGTTTAGAGGGGCTCTAGAAGAGTAGGGAGAGGGGTGGGATAGAGAGGGGGGGGAGGAGCAAGCGGAAAGAAGGGATTGGGCACGTGGGGATGACAGAGAGGGCTGCTGCTATCTCTGCGCCGCATGCCACCCACACCAGACCAGCAGCACCGTTTAGAGGGGCTTTGGAAGAGGAGGGAGAGGGGTGGGATAGAGAGGGGGGGGAGGAGCAAGGGGAAAGAAGGGATTGGGCGCGTGGGGATGACAGAGAGGGCTGCTGCTATCTCTGCGCCGCATGCCACCCACACCAGACCAGCAGCACCGTTTAGAGGGGCTCTGGAAGAGGAGGGAGAGGGGTGGGATAGAGAGGAGGGGGAAGAGCAAGCGGAAAGAAGGGATTGGGCGCGTGGGGATGACAGAGAGGGCTGCTGCTATCTTTGCGCCGCATGCCACCCACACCAGACCAGCAGCACCGTTTAGAGGGGCTCTGGAAGAGGAGGGAGAGTGATGGGATGGAGAGGGGAAGGAGGAGCAAGCGGAAAGAAGGGATTGGGCACGTGGGGATGACAGAGAGGGCTGCTGCTATCTCTGCGCCGCATGCCACCCACACCAGACCAGCAGCACCGTTTAGAGGGGCTCTGGAAGAGGAGGGAGAGGGGTGGGATAGAGAGGGGGGGGAGGAGCAAGCGGAAAGAAGGGATTGGGCACGTGGGGATGACAGAGAGGGCTGCTGCTATCTCTGCGCCGCATGCCACCCACACCAGACCAGCAGCACCGTTTAGAGGGGCTGTGGAAGAGGAGGGAGAGGGGTGGGATAGAGAGGGGGGGGAGGAGCAAGCGGAAAGAAGGGATTGGGCGCGTGGGGATGACAGAGAGGGCTGCTGCTATCTCTGCGCCGCATGCCACCCACACCAGACCAGCAGCACCGTTTAGAGGGGCTCTGGAAGAGGAGGGAGAGGGGTGGGATAGAGAGGGGAGGGAGGAGCAAGCGGAAAGAAGGGATTGGGCGCGTGGGGATGACAGAGAGGGCTGCTGCTATCTCTGCGCCGCATGCCACCCACACCAGACCAGCAGCACCGTTTAGAGAGGCTCTGGAAGAGGAGGGCGAGGGATGGGATAGAGAGGGGAGGGAGGAGCAAGCGGAAAGAAGGGATTGGGCGCGTGGGGATGACAGAGAGGGCTGCTGCTATCTCTGCGCCGCATGCCACCCATACCAGACAAGCAGCGCCATGAACAGGGGCTCTGGAAGAGGAGGTGGAGTGACGGGAGAGAGGGGGGGGGGGGGGGGGGGGGGGGAGGAAATAGAACAGTTATGGTGAGCTCGGAGAGGTGGGGCAGAGTGTGAGAGTATCGTACGCCTAGCGCCAGCGTCCGTGAAGCGGGGCGTACTGGGAGTGCCTATCCCACCGCAGCCAGGCCGCTATCACTGCGCATAATGGCACAAATACTCTGACCAGCATAAAGAGGTGGGGGAAACGAGGTGGTGAGAGAGAGAGCTGCAACTATCACTGAGCCCCATGCCACACATTGCTTAACACTTAAACATACCCACCTTCAGCAGCTTGGGCTTGGGCATCCCACGCGTTCGACGGACCGGTACGTCTACCGTCGATGGGCTTTCTGGCGCCACGCCTGGATCGAGGCCCTCTGCAGATGGGCCGCTCGACAGAGACGCAAGAGGAGGAGGCCTAGACGGAGGGGTGCATGGTTTGACAGGTCCTTTGGCTCCTGGCCTTGCCTTGAGTGCCTCAATTTTGCGATCCCGCTGGGCAAGCTCCCGCATGAGCTGCTCCACCGTCTTGCCGCCAGCCACATCGGGCCGACTGGATGCGCCAGGTGTGCCCATGCTCTCGCCCCTCCCCTCCTTAGTTGCCGGATCCATTTTCAAGACTCCTCATTCTCCCCTGCTCTCCCGTACATTCCACATGGAGCCTTCCACATCGCCGCCACATTCACCCAAGGAAATCGCCCACACACCTCCTCCCACACCGTCATTGGCTGATGCGGCGGCCGAGGGTTCGTGCCGCTTCGTTGCTCCCTCGATTTTCACCTGAACCGCGTGACCCCCCGAAAGCTTTGCAGGCGGGTCCGTCGCTTCCCTGCCAAACCGCGCTGACCCCCAAGCGATCGGATCTCCCTTCCCAGACGAATCCATCTGCTCGCGTAACGCAGCATACGGGTCGGTGGCTTTCCGATCATGAGGGCTTGATGGACATCGTAACCCCATGGACTCGTAAAAATCCAACTCCCGCTTCGCCTTGCTACGCACACCCACAATTTTAGCTTCGAATCGAGGTCTCTGGCGCTTGCCATGTGGTTTGGCACGACGCCCACTTTGCTTACAGCTCTTCACCCGTCCTGTCTGTGATTTTCGCTTTCCGTTGCCCTTCTTGGTCTTCCGCACACCCCTCCTCTTCAAAGGCCGAGCCTCCTCCTCATCCTCGCTCTCCGGCTCCAACTCCTCATTCTCCTCTTCCTCTTCCTCCTCCTCCTCGTCCTCGTATACTTCCTCACTCCCGGATGAGCTGCCTGACTCACTGTTGCTGGATCCCTCCTCCGAACCCGACGAGCTCGAAACATACTGTTTCGTCCCTTGTCGAGCTTGTCTCGCATTACGGTCGCGACCGGCCGAGTCCACAGCATTGCGTCGTTTGTACGGAATCACAGCTTCACGTCCATGCTCTTTCCCAGCAGTCACTGCTGCAGGCTTGTCCTCATTCTGATCGATACCGCCACCACCTCGCTGGTCTGCTAGCCCTGCAGCGAGAGGGATATGAGAGAGACAATGTCGGTGTCACGTCACTCACGACATAGTTGCTGGTGCAACAGGTAACCATATACAAGGAGGGTGGCAGCAAAGGCTATGCAACCTCAAAATCAACGACAGATGTAGCCAGGAACCGCCAACCTTCTATAACAGGCCTGGGCAGCGCCTGCTCGTCGCCACCAGCCACATCCAGCGAGAGCCTCCCCAAGGGACTGCCCTTGGCCGCCGCCGCCGCCTTCGCGTTGTTGCGCTTTCCACCACCACGCCCTTCAAGCTCGCCATGTTCCTGCTTGTCGCCACCAGCCACGTCCTGCGAGAGCCTCCCCGAGGGACTGCCCTTTGCCGCCGCCGCCGCCTTCACGTTGTTGCGCTTTCCACCACCACGCCCTTCAAGCTCGCCATGTTCCTGCTCGTCGCCACCAGCCACGTCCTGCAAGAGCCTCCCCGAGGGAGTGCCCTTGGCCGCCGCCGCCGCCTTCGCGTTGTTGCGCTTTCCACCACCACGCCCTTCAAGCTCGCCATGTTCCTGCTCGTCGCCACGCGGAGACATTCCTAGGCGGCCAGATGGACTGCCAGGATACTCCGCAGCCTTCCCACTACGGTCATAACATCTACCGCGTTGTCCTGCGCGCCTGCCTGCTGACGGGGCTACGAGGGCGGACATCACAGGAACATTAGCAGTCCAGTGCGCGCTAACCTTATTTGCATGAAGTGGCATCAGTATGATCAGTCGATGCAGGGAGTAACGTGATACTTAGAAACCAGCGATATTTCACGAACACGCACCTTCTTTGACGGGTCTGCCGTCCTCGACCTCCTCGTCGCCTTTAGACGCAGCATGTGAAGTAGTGCCTCTCTTTCGTTGACGCCGCTTACGCCCCCTTCGGTTGTCACACTTGTCCTCTGACAATTTTACGAGGGAGCACAATCGGAGCTACAGTTACGAGAACAATTCAAACACGACGGCAAACCGCACTTACTGGATCGGTCGGAGGAAATTAATCATGCAAGTCTACCTTTCAGCAGATGGTACCAAAGACACGTACCTTTCTGGCCAGCTTTGGGACCGATGTCATCTAAGCGCCTCACGCGCCTCTCCCTTGGTTTCGGAGGGGAGGACACGCCCTTGTTAGCGTATGGCCCAACATCGCCGTCGCTATTCGATTCGTCACCAGATGAAGAGTCCCGTCCTGACTCAACGTCATCACGCGCCGACGACGCATTGTACTTGCGGTACTCGTTAACGATCTCGGCCGTTTTATCTGCTGTAACTAACTCCGTATATATATTTTCCTCCGGCAATTTCGACGAGTCTGCCAAAACGATCGCCCCATCGGGCCCCTTAATCGTCTGACTATCCATTGCAATGTCTAGGTTTCCATTCACGTAGTAGTCTGAGGTGTGGGTTAGTTATGACGTTGCAACCTGACAGCTACGCTTCGCGCACTAAAAAATTGTTGAGCATAGAAGGGACGAGGATCAGACAGAGGCCTGGAGCAGATGACCGTCCCACAAGCAGGCACGCAAGAGGAGCACGGAGGTGACGAGGGTTTGAGCGTTTCCTGCTCTGTTCCACCTTGCGACATCCAGGTCCCTTGTTTCCCCCAACAACCAATCACACGGTGGTTAACGTGCATAGAAAAAAAAAAAATTGCGGCTCCACTGGGCCATGATTCAGTGGGAGCGGGCGTTTATCCAACCATTAGCGGCAGGGAGCGATACAAAATATTGCTAGTGCTTAAACGTGCGCTAGTATATTAGGGCTCACGAAAGATATTTATTCTGCCCGCACAGACTTCATGTGGCTAATTTTCATATACTTCCACGCGTGCCGCACGAAGCTTGGCGCAGGCGTCACGTCAAGAGTAAAATCGCCACTCCGAAGAAACAGGGACGCACCATTGGCGCAATTCGTACAGCGATGCGACAGTCTGATACGAAGCCGTTATGGAACACCTGCGATAAGAACGCATGCTTGAGAGATAGTTGTGAGTGGTGGCGATTGGGTCACAAGTCGGAGAGAACAACGTTCGTGGCAATGAACTGAGGTAAGTGGTATGGCGCACGGGGGGGCACAAAATGACACATTTATTTGCAAGGCTGCAATACAGTGTTGAAAGAACATATAAAACATTACTACCAAAGGAGTGTTGAGCTGTCCAATACGTTAACTCACAAGTATGAGCACCGAGAGTGCATAACCAGACACATCCTTCATGGACCAACTGTCGAATACGCAGTCAAGCCGGTCGAGGCTGCTGGTGACACTGGTACTGCTGCGGGTGCTGAGCCTGGGGGTGCTGACTCTGGGGGTGCTGCGCGCGTGGGTGCTGAGCCTGGGGGTGCTGAGTCTGGGGGTGCTGCGACTAGGGGTGCTGAGCCTAGGGGTGCTACGACTGGGGGTGCTGAGCCTGGGGGTACTGCGACTGGGGGTGCTGAGCCCGGTGGTGCTACGACTAGGGGTGCTGAGCCTGGGGGTGCTACGTCAGGAGCTGCTGAGCCTAGGGGTGCTGCGTCTGGAGCTACTGAGCCTGGTGGTGCGGAGCCAGCGGCCGCTGGACCTGCTCGTGTGGCGTCTGGTGGTGCTGGGCCTGGAGGTTCTCCGGGTGCTTCGTCTCGGCGGGAGCCACTCTCTCCACAGGAGCTGCGCGGGTGGTTTGCCCGGCGCTAGAGGCGTACTGCTGGAGCTGGAGCTTCTTCGTCCGCTGAGGGTGCTAGTGCCGCCAGTCTCGGAGGTGCTCGTCCTGGGAGTACTGGAGCAGCTGGGCCTGCGGGTACGACTGGAGCTAGAGCTGCTGAGGGTGTTGGCGCTGAGGCTACTGCGGTCAGTCCTGGCAGTGGTCCTGCTGCGGGTGCTGCTGGTACTGCTGGAGGTCCTGCAGCTGGAGGTGCTATTGGCGCTGGTGCTGCCGCTGAGGGTGCTGGTGTTGTCCCTGCTGTGTGTGCAGTCGCCGCGCGGCACCGGCCGTACTTCGTTCCGCTCCTTTAGCAGGTTCTTGGTCTCCCGCCTTCTACTGGTCCTCCTCCTCCCTAAGAGTGTCCACAGCCTGTCCAGTCACAGTCACAGTTACCGCCCGCCTCCCCACTGCCTGCTCCCTCTCCTTACACTGGTCCTACTGGAGGTCTTGCTGAGCGTCGTGAGCGTGCGTCTCGTCCCGCGTCGCCTGTTCGTGTTGCTCGCGCTAGTGGTAGCGGTTCGCGTCAGCGTCCTCCTCCTGTCCTTGGCAAGCACCGGATGTCTCTGCGTCCGTCTACTGCTCCTCTGCGTGTCCCTTTGCCTTCTCCTCCTGAGTCCTCTCTTCCTGCGCTTGCCGACCCGGAGTCGGACTCTCTTCGTGCTGCCAGTCCTACCGACACGCGTCTCCTTGCTACTGTCGTCACTGACCCCTCTTTTGAGTCCACTGCTGCGTCTGCTCTTTTTGCTGAGCTTGTCGACTTTGCTGCTCGCTCTCGTCTAGACTACGCTGCTAGTCTTGTCGCTGAGTCTGCGTCTGTCTGTCCTCCGTCCGTCGGGGGTGAGTGTGCTCTTGGCACGGACGTCCTTGAGGACAGGCAGGAGGAGTTCCAGTGTCTGGCTGCTGCTTCACCTCATCTCGCGTCCGTACTGCTTACCCCTGAGGGAGACCCGGATGCACTAGACATCCCGACTCCGCGCTCTTACGCGGAGGCCGTAGAGGGTCCCTACTCGTCTCAGTGGCAGGCAGCTATGGATGCAGAGATGGCTTCCTAGAAGTCCACAGGCACCTATGTTGACGCGGTTCCTCCTTCTGGGGTGAACATCGTCAGTGGTATGTGGATCTTCAGGGTGAAGCGGCCGCCGAGCTCTCCACCTGTCTTCAAGGCGCGGTACGTGGCTCGTGGCTTCAGTCAGCGGCAGGGAGTTGACTACTTTAAGACCTTCTCTCCCACCCCGAAGATGACCACTCTTCGGGTGCTGCTACACATAGCCGCTCAGCGTGACTACGAGCTTCACTCCCTTGACTTCAGCACTGCTTTCCTGCAGTGTAGCCTGCATGAGGAGATCTGGCTGCGCCGTCCACCTGGCTTCACTGGGACTTTCCCTCCTGGCACCCAGTGGAGCCTCCGGCGGCCAGTCTACGGTCTCCACCAGGCACCGCGCGAGTGGCACGACACACTGAGGATAACGCTTGCGGCTCTTGGGTTTGCTCCCTCTACTGCAGACCCGTCGTTGTTTCTGCGCACCGACACCTCTCAGCCGCCGTTCTACATCCTCGTGTACGTCGACGACTTGGTCTTTGCCACAGCTTACACTGCTGGACTCGCCCACGTGAAGTCCCAGCTGCAGAAGAGACACACGTGCACAGACCTGGGTGAACTGCGCAGCTACCTTAGCTTGCAGATCACCCGGGACAGAGCACGCCGCACCATTACCTTGACTCAGTCACACATGGTGCAGCAGGTCCTTCAACGCTTCGGCTTCACGTACTCCTCGCCTCAGGCCACTCCTCTGTCTACTCGCCACTCGCTCTCTCAGCTCTGCCTTCGGATGAGTCCGTAGAGTTGAGTGGCCCGTACCGAGAGCTTGTTGGCTGCCTCATGTACCTGATGACCTGCACATGACCTGACCTTGCATACCCTCTTAGCATTCTTTCACGCTATGTTGCTCCTGGGAGACACAGACCAGAGCACATGGCTGCAGCGAAGAGGGTGTTGCGCTACTTGTGCAATACGTCGGGCATGGGGCTAGTGCTTGGAGGGCGGATTCCAGTGGTCCTCACAAGGCACGCGGACGCTTCTTGGGCTGACGACCAGGCTACGCAGCGGTCGTCACAGCGTTACACCTTCAGTCTTGGTTCCGGCTCTGTTTCGTGGCGGGCTACTCGCTCGTCTTCTGTTCTCGGCTCCAGTTGTGAGGCTGAGATCTACGTCGGGGCCATGGCTACACGTGCTGACTGACCTCGGAGAGCCGCCTCGTTCTCCTCCAGTGCTGTACGTAGACAACAAGGCCATGCTGGCCTTGTGTCGGGAGCAACGCCTGGAGCACAGAACGAAGTACATTGCTCTCCGCTACTTTCTTGCTCGTGAGTTGCAGCAGCGTGGTCAGTTGCGACTTGCGTACGTGGCCTCTGAGGCCAACACTGCTGATGTTTTCACCAAGGCACTTCCGCCTTGTGATCATCAGCGCTTCTGCACTCAGCTGGGTTTTGTGTCTGTCTTGCCTCACTTGCTCACCCCTTGACCTTGCTTGTACTCTTACACATATATATATATACCTGCTCTTGCTTGTTTAGCCTTATATATTTATGTGTACTCCTGCATGTGAACTGGCCTAGTGGCCTTGACCTTGTGCTCGGACTGTGTGGTGATGTTGTGATCCACCCTGAGCTTTGTGTGCTTTGCTTGACTGGTCTTGTGACCCCTTGTTCTCCCCCACTTTGCCTATGGGGGTGTGTCAAATTATAATATTGTGTAGGCTATAGTGGGGTGGCCTATATGGGGTACACATTTCTAGGGTTGCATATTTGTATCACTTCCATTCCTTAGTCATTCATTCTCGTTCTACTTTCCTCACCCTTCCGCCCCACGGCGCCTTTCCCTCGGCCCTACCCACTCTTCCGCCCGTCCCCATTGCTGCGTGGGCGGGTCGTGCGTCTTCCGCCCTTCCCACCTCCTGATGTCGCGCAACTGCAGCCTCTCTGGTGACGGCGACCAGGTGCCTTCCCTCCTGCTGCGCTGCTGGTGGCGCTCTGGCGAGTGCCTTTCTCTTCCGTACTTCTCCCTGCGCAGGCTGCGCCACTCGGGCGAGTGGGACCCGCTTCCATCCCTCTCTTCTCTCCGCCTCGGCCGACCCGGCGAGCGCCCCATGCCACTGCATTCCCCATGCTGCTGACCGCGGCGCTCCTGTGACCCCCGCTTCTCCTCGTGCCTTCCTTCCTGGCGCCCGTGCGGCTCAGGTGAGCGCGACTCATCCTTTCTTCTGCCACCGCGCGCTCGCTGCTGTTCTGGCAAACGCACGCCGCCGCTGCTCCAGCCGCCCTGCTCCTGTCGCCTACCATGCGGGCGAAAGTCGCCTACGCGCCATTCCCCATGGTGCGGATCCTTCTGCGGCGTGCGCAACCGCTCTGCCCTCCCCTTGCCATCATAATGCAGCCTCTGCGCCAGTGCAGCTCGAACACTGTCGGCTGTCGTCACTTGCTCCTGGCGCAGTGAGCCTTCCGCGCACTGCTCTTCCCCATGGCTGACGTCTCGGTCGCGCGTTTCCCACGGCGCGGCCCTCGATTCTTTGGCTGCCGCCTGGCTCGCGCCAGCGCTCTCGTCTGCCTGCGCGGGTTCAGCCTCACCCGTTCCCGCTGCCTGGTCGTCGCCGTCATTTCCTTCATCGGCCTCCTCGACCTGTAGCCCCGGGTGCTCCTCTTCTTCCGCGCCTTGCTCCGCTGCCACGTCATGTGCCGCGTTCTCTTGCAGGATCCCCACTTGGTCGTCGCCACCCATGTCTCCTCCCCGTCCCCGGGGACGTTCCCCGAAACCTCGCCAACGGCCTCTCTCATCCCGGCGCCGCTCTCGCTCTTCCGGAGAGCGGAACACTCCTACGTCGCGGCGGGTTCCACGGTCCTCGCCAGGTCCGCGTGCTCTCCCTCGCAGCCAACCGTCTCTATCCATGCCGCCGCCGTGCCCGTCGTCGCCTACTCCCACGCCCGTCGATCCTTTGTCTCGACGGTCCCGTGCGAGAGGGATTCGATCCGCGTGAAAGGCCGGGCGGCGCGGCGATCGCTCCAATGACCGCCCTCGTTCACGTGATGGCTCGCGTCGCGGCCGTTCCTCCTCCCAGCGGCTGAACATCCTACCCCAACGCAATTCGTACTTATCCATATCTACTCTACTCGTTACTGCTCGAGGCCCTTTTGCGATTGTAATGAAAGAGCTTAGTTCCTCACCCCGTAGGTTCCCTCTTAGTGACGTGCCTCAGTGTGCTAGAGCGAAAATAGCAGATTTCACTAGTTCGAGAGAATTACAATCGCAAAAGCATCGAGGGGTTGGACGTGAGTGCCCTTACCCAACCCCAGGCTGCACATTTCCAAATGTGCGGCTCGGGGTTTGGGATGGACTGGTTTCACATTTCGCCCTTTGGTGTCATTTCCCCCTTTTTATCCCAACCGCTCTTATCCCGTTTCCCCCCTTCTACACCCCATTCTAAACAATCACCTCGCTACATTCTACACATTCTACACCTTCGGCTATTTCTCTTCTATCTTATTATATCCAGCTATTCTTCCTGTGCTAGCAACCTAGAGCCTTGCCAATACCCTTACCCTACTGTTATGGCATATGCATTAGGTGCATATGCTGTGACAAGAAGTCCGTCTGATGCGGGACGTTCGAGGTCCATCTCCTCAGGGTGCGACCAAGTCGGTGTTTCCGTGGGTGTTGTTTTCATCACAAGAGTTTGCTCGGAGTCGCCAGTATTTCCTTGCAACGTGAATTTTAACACAAAGACTCCGTCATCGTCAATTGCCTTCCCGATGTAAGAACTCTTGTGAAAGAATTCGAAGCTCTTGTCCTTGTAGTTGCTTTGACTGATGACTCCACACTTCATGAGTTGTGCAGCAGATAGCATGTTAAACTGAAGATCGGTGACGACCAGAACGTCTCTGATCTAAATGGTGAAGTGGGTTTCTTCCGAATCAAGGTAAATTTTTCCGATGTCATAAGTTTGGAGTAGGTTGTTGTTTGCAACAGTAATTTCGCACGGTCGTCGCATGCGCTTTGAGCTGCTAATGACTATTGGTAACCCTTCCATGTGTTGTCTGCATCAACTGTCAAGATACCAAGTGTTGAAGTTATCTCGGCTTCGTCGGGCGATGCTCGCGAGCTTTGGAGTGATGATATGGTTGACATCAACACAATAAGGCGAGAGATCATTCTCATGCTTTGCTGGGAAGCTGGGAGGAAATTTATGTGTGCTTGGAGGCAACTCGAAATCAGGTGGGATGTTGGTCGGTCTGTCAAACCAGGGACTGAGTGCGGGGTCGTTGTTTGGGCTTGGTGCGACTGGGTCGATTGGCGCGACTGGCGGGAATTGTGTTCCGTCGTAGTAGCAAGTGCTTTTGCGACGTGCCATGCAGCTCAGAACTGTCCCCTTTCCCTTATCCTTGGATGAAATGCGTGCAGGAGTCTGAGAGGTGCTTGCAACGGCGGGTGGCGACATTGCTGTTGTCACTGCTAAGGTTGAGGGTGGTGCCGAATTTTGTTGAGTGTTGCTACACCTCTCATTAGCAGCCTTCTGCTTGTAGCACCAGTCTATGGTGTGACCCGGTTTCTTGTAGTACTTGCAGAAGGACCATTTTTTTCCGTTGTGCTCCCCTTCAGCTGCTCCGGTGAAACATGCTAATTTCTCCCTCGTGCTGTTCTTCTGGTTGTACAGATCGATCTCCTTCTGCTCGGAGAGAAGTGTGGCGTAGAGGGCGGATCCGAAGATGGTTGCTCGAGCACAAAGCAACGATTAACACTGCCGCCATTCTAGTCCTAGTCCGGAGAGAATTATCGAGACAAACTGGTCGCACAGATTCCGGCACCGATTGATATATGCTCATGCTTTCTTCCCTTGAAGCATTTTTGTTGATGTCAGTTGGCTGAGCAGGCGACTCATGGTTACAGGATCTGTTGCCATATATGAATTGCTCAGGCGCTCCTAGGACATTTGCGCAGGAGCGCAGTCCGATTTGTAGGAGCGGATGCCAAGCTGATCAACAAGGGAGAGGTTTCTGAGGAGAGCAGCATACGCGAGAAGGGACTCGTGATAGTACTGGTTCTTCTCCTGAAGAGTTCCTTCTACGGGAAATGGTAAGCTCCCGTCGTAGTACATCCAGATGTGCGAGGTGCTTGCGATGAGCTCAAATTCGAAACTCCACGTGTAGAAAACTTTTACGTCGAATAGCGTTGAACTCTTCGACTTTTATGTCATAACGGATTTTGTTTGCATGGTTGTGATTGCTTTTGACCAGGGCTAATTTTATTCGTGTAAATCACCCTGATTATCAAGGTGGTTTTTGGTAGTCAAACTGATCACCTGGGGTAATTTTTTTTGGAGCTAGAATTTTCCTGATATGCCAGGGTTCACATTTAAGGCACACTGATGCCTCTCGGTCTGTTTGTCGGACATGATAATATGACTCATCGGGGTTTGAAAAACGGGTACACTGATGCCACAGGGTTGGATTTTCAAAAACACGAAAAACACTGATGGATCAGGGTTTGAACAAGGTGTCACACTGATAATCAGGTTTTTGAACAGGTGCAACACTAATCACAAGGGTTGATCAAAACCAAAAATTAGCCCTGATTTTGATTGTGCGCGTTGTTGACTGTCGTGCGCAGGAGCTAAGGCTTGCCGGTTGTCAAAGGTGAAAGACCTCTCGGAATTGATGGACGGTCTTCTTCGGGGAGAGGTAGTCCAGAAACTCCTCTTGCGTAGCTTGAGCCATCAATGCTCGTTGCTTGATGGCTCTCAAGGGCGTTGATGCGAGCAACGGGCTGCTCAACAAAGGCGGCGCTGACAGAGGTCACTAGTGATGGCGCATTGGTTGTTGCTGGTGGTGGGCCCGGAGAGTCTGCAGTAGCTTTTCCTTTAGGAGCTGTAGTGATGTAGACTTAAAATAGGTATTTGTGAAACAATGAGAAGAGGAATGAGAATGACTAAGTCAGAAATTGGTACAAATAACAAACCCTAGGAATCTGTACCCCATATGTGCTACCCCACTATAGCCTACAAACATGTATCAGCTATAATGTTCTGACACACCCCCATAGGCAAAGTGGGGGAGAACAAGGGGTCACAAGACCAGTCAAGCAAAGCAAAGCAAGCTCAGGGTGGATCACAAAGTCACCACACAGTCCGAGCACAAGAGCAGGGCCAGAGGCCAGTTCACATGCAGGAGTACAGACATATATATAGTACTAGACAAGCAAGAGCAGGGATATATATATATCACAGTACAAGTGAAGTCAGGAAGAGAGCAAGTGAGGCAAGACAGGCACAAGACCCAGCTGGGTACAGAAGCGCTGATGGTCACAAGGCGCGAGTGCCTTAGTGAACACATCGGCAGTGTTGGCCTCAGAGGCCACGTACGCAAGTCGCAGCTGACCGCGCTGCTGCAGCTCACGAGCAAGGAAGTAGCGGAGAGCAATGTGCTTCGTTCTGTGCTCCAGACGCTGCTCTCGACACAAGGCCAGCATGGCCTTGTTGTCTACGTACAGCACTGGAGGAGAACGAGGCGGCTCTCCAAGGTCAGTCAGCAGGTAGGTGAGCCAGCGAAGCTCCTGTGCAGCCATGGCCCCGGCGTAGATCTCAGCCTCACAACTGGAGCCGAGAACCGAAGACGAGCGAGTAGACCGCCACGAGACAGAGCCGGAACCAAGGCTGAAGGTGTAACCCTGTGACGACCGCTGCGTAGCCTGGTCGTCAGCCCAAGAAGCGTCCGCGTGGCCCGTAAGGACCACTGGACTCCGCCCTCCAAGCACTAGCCCCATGCCCGACGTACTGCACAGTTAGCGCAATACCCTCTTCGCTGCAGCCATGTGCTCAGGTCGGTGTCTCCCAGGAGCAACATAGCGTGCAAGGATGCTCAGAGGGTATGCAAGGTCAGGTCGTGTGCAGGTCATCAGGTACATGAGGCAGCCAACAAGCTCTGCATACGGGCCACTCGACTCTACGGACTCATCCGAAGGCAGAGCTGAGAGCGAGTGGCGAGTAGGCAGAGGAGTGGCCTGAGGCGAGGAGTACGTGAAGCCGAAGCGCTGAAGGACCTGCTGCACCATGTGTGACTGAGTCAGGGTAATGGTGCGGCGTGCTCTGTCCCGAGTGATCTGCAAGCCAAGGTAGCTGCGCAGTTCACCCAGGTCTGTGCACGTGTGTCTCTTCAGCAGCTCGGACTTCACGTAGGCGAGTCCAGCAGTGTCCGCTGTGGCAAAGACCAAGTCGTCGACGTACACGAGGATGTAGAACGGCGGCAAGGAAGTGTCGGTCCGAAGAAACAGCGACGGGTCAGCAGTGGAAGGAGCAAACCCAAGAGCCGCAAGCGTAGTCCTCAGTGTGTCGTGCCACTCACGCGGTGCCTGGCGGAGACCGTAGACTGGCCGTCGGAGGCTCCACTGGGTGCCAGGAGGGAAAGTCCCAGTGAAGCCAGGCGGACGGCGCAGCCAGATCTCCTCGTGCAGGCTACCCTGCAGGAACGCAGTGCTGAAGTCGAGAGAGTGAAGCTCGTAGTCGCGCTGAGCGGCAACGTGCAGCAGCACCCGAAGAGTAGTCATCTTCGGGGTGGGAGAGAAGGTCTGAAAGTAGTCAACTCCCTGCCGCTGACTGAAGCCACGAGCGACGTAACGCGCCTTGAAGACAGGCGGAGAGCCCGGCGGCCGCTTCACCCTGAAGATCCACATGCCACTGACGATGTTCGCCCCAGGAGGGGGAACTGCGTCAACGTAGGTGCCTGTGGACT